ATATAGCTGCTGCTGGAACAGGTGTCCCCATTGAAAGATTAAGTCTGTCCTCTTGCTCTGAAACCCAAAAGGGTTGCAATTTACATCATTTTTTGTCTCTGAAAATGGTCATCAGGACAAACAGAGAGTGAATCTCCACAGCAGGTACACAGACAGCAATAAATACCTGTCAGTGTACTAACTGTAGCACCCTCCTAGATACTGTAGGTGTTAGGTTTACATAGATATTTTTAATATGTGTTTTGATAGGTAAATTTAGTTTCCACAATGTAGTCAGTGTGGCTGTGATTTTTTGTTAGGTAAACACATAGTTTGCTTGCTTTACTCAGTGAAGCTGCATTCTGCTAGTCAGGTTTGCTCATTGTGTTCAGCTGCTGCCAGTCTGATAGTTCCCTCTGCATCCAGAGAGTTTGAAAGGTTTCTGGATGATAAGTGTGGAGCTATGCAGATGGCAGCATGAATATTGATACAGCCCTGGCCTAATCCAGAGAGGCAGGCTCTGATGCATGCTGGGAGACTGAATATATTTGATGAGCACATTGTGCTTCGGTCTTTTCCTGGAAAAGATTGGTCCAGCCTGGAGGGGGCACACATCCCTTCTAGGCAATGCTGGTATGTCTTTTGCCATGAGGCCTCGGGTAGGTGACCTGAGGGCCTGGATGCTAAAACCCAGGAACTAAAGAGAGCTGACTGAGGGGGGCTGTCTGCTGAAGATCTGGTCTGGTATCACCATAGTTAGGTGTCACTTGGAAGTTGGAAGGAGGCAACCAGCTGGCCTTGTGTGAGTATATACACTTCTAAGAGATCATGGGGACCTTTGTACTTTTGACACCTCTCTGGTGCTAGAGAGTTAGCTGTGGGTCTAGTTAAAGGGGACACCGGTAGGTGTCCTGAAGAGCTTTGTGCATCTAATCTTCAACTTAAAGGGACTCTGCTTTTGTGGCTCTAAAAATAGATTTACAGTTAACTACTACCACTACTACTACTACTACCCTAAAGCTAAAGTCTACTGTTTGCTACAAGCAGACTTTAATATAGCTTTTTCTGAAGAATCCTCAAGTTGTACATAGTTTTTGTTTTTGGAGTATCCCACCCAATTCCCTCAACCCTATGCAAGTTCTCAAAAAATAAACACAACAAAAACAACACCCCTAAACTGGTCATTGAAGAAATGTGTGAATGAGCCTATGTGCCTGGCTGTGGGAAGAAGCTTGTGGGGAAGACCTGGACAGTATTCCTGCAGCTCCTATAGGAGTAGCGCTACATATACTATATTGCCAAAAGTATTGGGATGCCTGCCTTTACACGTACATGAACTTTAATGGCATCCCAGTCTTAGACTGTAGGGTTCAGTATTGAGTTGGCCTACCCTTTGCAGCTATAACAGCTTCAACTCTTCTGGGAAGGCTGTCCACAAGGTTTAGGAGGGTTTCTATGGGAATGTTTGACCATTCCTCCAGAAGTGCATTTATGAGATCATGCACTGATGTCAGACGAGAAGGCCTGGTCCACAGTCTCCGCTCTAATTCATCCCAAAGGTGTTCTGTTGGGTTGAGGTCAGGACTCAGTGCAGGCCAGTCATGTTCCTCCTCCCCAAACTTGCTCATCCATATCTTCTTGGACTTTGCTTTGTGCACTGGTGCTCAGTCATGTTGTAACAGGAAGGGGCCATCCCCAAACTGTTCCCACAAAGTTGGGAGCATGAAATTGTCCAAAATGTCTTGGTATGCTGACACCTTAAGAGTTCCCTTCACTGGAACTAAGGGACCAACCCCTAAAAAACAACCCCACACCATAATCCCCCCCCTCCACCAAACTTTACACTTGGAACAATGCAGTCAGGTAAGTACCGTTCTCCTGGCAACCGCCAAACCTAAACATGTCCATTGGATTGCCAGACACAGAAGTGTGATTCATCACTCCAGAGAACACGTCTCCACTGCTCTAGAGTCTACTGGCAGCGTGCTTTACATCACTGCATCTGATGCTTTGCATTGCACTTTGGTGATGTAAGGCTTGGATGCAGCTGCTCGGCCATGGAAACTCATTCCAATAAGCTCTCAATGCACTGTTGTTGTGCTAATCTGAAGGCCAACGAAGTTTGGAGGTCTTTAGCTATTGACTCTGCAGACAGTTGGTGACTTCTGCGCAATGTGTGCTCAGCATGCGCTGACCCCGCTCTGTCATTTTACGTGGCCTACCACTTCATTGCTGAGTTGCTCTTTTTCCCAGTTGTTTCCTGCTTTGTTATAATACCACTAACAGTTGACCGTGGAATATTTAGTAGCAAGGACATTTCATGGATGGACTTACTGCACAAGTGGCAACCCATCACGGTACCACGCGTGAATTCACTGAACTCCTGAGAGCAACCTATTCTTTCACAAATGTTTGTAGAAGCAGTCTGCATGCCTAGGTGCTTTATTTTATGCAACTGCGGCCATGGAGGTGATTGGAATACCTGAATCCAATGATTTGGAGGAGTGTCCCAATATGTTTGGCAATACAGTGCAACTATTCCCTGCTTTATTCTAAACTAAATGATACATTTTGACTATAAACTGTTTACACTTTAAAATCAATTTAAAGCTATACATCAATCTAACACTACCCTGTCCACAGGGTGACAATACTTCTGTGTGATTTCACTGCAGAACAAACAGTTTTGTCACCCAGGAAGTGGAAAAAATACTACTCCACTGGCAGAATCAATAGGTATTAAAGCTATATTGCAAGGGGATCAAAAAAAAAAAAACTGTTGTGTCAATGTTAGTCTCAGAGTGTATCTTACATGTATTTTTTATTTTGTGTATCGTTCCAGTTTTAAGTAAACCTGCGCCCAGACTATGCATACTAAAGCATTTATATATTCTGAACAAACAGAAAAAGTTTGGTAAAATAAGCCTTTATTCATCTCTAAAACCATAGTGAAGAAATACTGTACATCCTACAACACAGGCAGCTTGCAAGCTGTGGGATTCTGACTAAGGTCCTTTCATCCTTTCACACCAAACTGCACATAAAAACTAACAGCAATGCATCAGGGGAACCTAGTACCCATAGGACTACTAGCCTTGAAGAAAGGGGAGCTGCTAAAAATGAAGCCTCACTTGCCCACTATTTACTCTCGATGTACTGTCTGTGTCCGGACTTAAAGTGGTTGTAAACCTTGCACGAGAAATATGAACAAAGCATATTCCTCTATAGTGTGTACTTGTCTCAATTAGAAACACTGAGGGGTTTATTTACTAAAGCTGGAGAGTCCAAAATCAGACTCCCTTCTGCATAGAAACCAATCAGCTTCCAGGTTTCATTGCCAAAGCTTCATTGAACAAGCTGAGGTTAGAAGCTGACTGGTTTCTATGCAGAAGGGAGTCTGATTTTGGACTCTCCAGCTTTAGTAAATAAACCCCTATGTGTAATTTCTGTCCGCTGCTTAGTTCCTCTGTTATCAGCATGAGTCACTTCTGACAAGTTTTCCTGACACTAAGAGAATAATGGTGACAGGGGAGGGAGCTCCAGCAGAGTGACAGCCTCAGATCTATTCCTATGATCTGTGTTGAGGTTTGTGTGTCCCTTTCTTCCAATCAGCTCTCAGAGCTCTCCTCACTGAGATCTGCAGAGTGTAGTCTTAGCTCTCCACCCCTCTTTCCTGAACTCTCAGACAAGCTTTATATATTCAGCAATTTGAACAGATGGACTGCAGAGCAGAGAACTGCAGATAAACAGGTACAATGTAAGTAAGAGGACTTGTTCCATTTCTGTGTATCACAGGACAGTCCCTTCACTAGGCATATGTTAGGGTTTTCAACCACTTTAAATTCTGTTTTGTAAGAATAACTAAACAGTTTAATGTCCATAAACTGTGCACAGGTACACTTTAAAATAACCACACTGGTTTGAGCAAGTCCAAAGGTTTAAAGCTGAACTCAAGGCAAAGCTTTTTAATTTGTTTCAGACAGAGCTGGGAACATTTGGTAGGTTTTTAGTACTGACTAGATCTGTATTGGGAAGATTTTCTCCAAACTGCAATATACTGCATTCTTATTTTTGGGTTTAGATACACTTTAACAGGTCGAATTTAAATTACTGAAAGATGAAACTTGATTAGTTCCTATTGGTGGGTTACTGTTCACTACATATGAAATCTTTTAAATCCTTGGACTGATCATGGTGTTAGAATTTTCTTTGTAATGTTATTAGGGTTTGTGGTCTGTGGAGGCTCTGATGAAGAGGGGATCGCTCCTCAAAATGCAACAGCCATTTTCAAGCGTCCTTTTTACATGTGGGACTTGTGCACCATTTCAGACCATGGACCACTGTTGGTCATGATATCCCTGTGTACATTTGTTGTTTGTGAGTATACATCTGCTACTTTGTACAAATAAAGTTATTATTGAGGTAATAGGCAAGGCTTGTGTACCGCTTTTCCTTTCTTATTTGCTAGTGCCATATTGGGCTACCCCAGCCCTTAGGGGGCTGCACAGCACTGCTGGATTGGTTTGAATGCTAAGGTCTATGAAGATCCTTGCACATATGCTATATCCGGTCCTTTGAGCGCAGGAAGTGGTTTGTGGTTTGTGATAGATCCCTTAAAGAGTAAAATTATCACAACTGCAATATCTAACACGCCTTTCAAGTGAACAGAGAATCCAGTAAAAAAATGTGATTGACAAAGGCAAACATGTTTTCCTTTTTCTTGCTATAAATTATAATAAAATGAAAAAATATAATAGTAGCAATATACATGCCCTGATGCAAGTCACATATCTGTGTACATTCTTCAGCCCAAACAACTTTACTAGATTACCAAAGCTGATTGGAATTTAGATTTCTGGAATATCCTTTGATTTAGAAAACATTTTTTCTATCTATTCCCAAGTTCAAGGTTGCTACTCTCATGCAGGAAAGTAATTTAAAAAAAAGCAAAAAACAAATCTATAGATATTAGCAAGGGTAAGTTCATTAAGAAAAAGTAACTGATGTTATTCTTAACAGGACTAGAAAAATGCTTTGGGGTAATTATATTTACTATTACATATGCAATATTTGCACTTGTACATACCTGAATCTACTACTTCAGATACAGATTTTTCAGAAATGTGAGCCATATGTCCCAGAATAGAGAATATGGCGAATCCTGCAAACACACTAGTGCCACAGTTCACCACACAAACAATGATGGCATCCGAGTAGCAGTTGTTGTGGAATTTGTTGTATGAAGACAAAGCGATAAGTCCACCCCAGGCTGTGGAGAGAGAGAAGAAGATCTGGGTGGCAGCATCTTTCCATACCTGCAAATTGATAAAATAGTAAAGTGAATAAAATGCACTCATTGCCTACATTATTAGTTAAAACTGTAATCCAATCATGCGGTTGCAAATCTATACATGTAGCATACAGATTTAATCAAAATGGGCAGTTATTGTTCAACAAAAATTTAGCACCATTGACCATGGAATGGTGGTGTGATGGTGATTGCAACATCTCAAATACATTGAGGAACTGGAGAAAGTACAGAGCAGGGCAACCAAACTAAGAGGCATGGAGGAGCTCAGCTATGAGGAAAGATTAGAGGAACTGAATTGATTCTCTCTTGAGAAGAGGAGATTTGGGGGGATATGATCAACATGTATAAATACATCAGTGGTTCATATAGTGAACTCGGTTTAGAGCTATTCACTCTGAGGTCATCACAGAGGACAAGGGGGCACTCTTTACGTCTGGAGAAAAAGAAATGTAATCTCCAAACACGGAAAGCTGTGAAAATGTGGAATAGACTCCCTCAAGAGTTGGTTCTGGCCAGCTCAGTAGATTGCTTTAAAAAAGGCCTGGATTCTTTCTTGGATACACAGAATATAACTGGATACTAACATTTATAGGTAAAGTTGATCCAGGAAATATCTGATTGCCTCTCGGGGGATCATGAAGGAATTTTTTTACCCTGCAGGAGCTTTGCTGGGATTTTTTTGCCTTCCCCTGGATCAACTGAGGGTATAGGATTTTAACATTTTTTTCTTTTTTAATGGTTGAACTGGATGGACATTTGTCTTTTTTCAGCCAGATTAACTATGTAACTATGTAACTATGTAAATGCTGCTATCAGCAGCTGATTGTTTTAACCCAATCATGTACAAAGAATGGTGTGGAAAACAAAAAATATCAAGCAAGTGGCAGTTCTGTCTTCCAAAAATTGAGAGAGAGGAATCTTAAAATAAAAAGAGTGGTAGGCACAGCATGTTGAACACTGGCTAAGATGGACTACAGCAGTGGAATATGACATAGGTTCCAATCCACTCAGCTAAAAACAGGAACACAAGACTACAGGGAGCACAGAATAACCAAAAGGGGACAACTATACTGTGAAGATGTTACCTGGGTTGGCAGATTTTAATTTGAAATGTAATGGTAGAGACAGAATTTGTTGCCCAAAGCTTGAATATATGGATCCATTCTTATTGGCATTAGCTGCTCAGGCTCCAGTCAGGGAAAGAGTAAGTCAACAAAAAAGCTGTTGAGACTTACTATTGATATTTATGAGTCACAACATGGACAATCTTGTAAAATAATCTATTAAGCAAGAGGAAGTATGCCTATTTGCTAAGATAAAGAGATATTTCTAAATTGCAGTAGTCCAATCAACAAATCACAAGCCACCTTTGATGGTCCTGATTACATTCATCAAATGGAAAGCGAAGAAGTATTGGTTGTTATTAGGGCTGGTGCTTCCGCTAGGCAAACTAGGCAGCCGCCTAGGGGGTAAAGCCGCCTAGGGGTGCCTGGGCTGTCACTCTCTCCGTGTGGCATATGGACCTCTTGTATGAATTCTTAATTTCTCTGCAGAGTCTCCCTCTCCTCATACTATCTTTACTCTACATAATTGTCCCACAGCATGTCCACACACGACCATTTAGTGTATATATATATATATATATATATATATATATATATATATATATATATGTATATATAAAACAGCATTCCATGTAGCAGACATGTCAACTCTCCCTAGGATGGGAAGTGATGGCATTAGCCCAGGACCCCAGGCGGTCAGCAGTCTCTGATTGGAGGATCGGTCTGTACATCTCCAGTACACACACTGGCACGCATGATCCTCCAACAGGGAGCAAGCGAGTGACTGAATGGGGCATGTCCAGTGCTGGCTCCACTTCTTCTACACAGTTGGAGCCAATCAATAGGCAGGGGTGTGCTCTGGTTGCAGGGTTAACCCTATGTGAGTAGGATGGTCACAAGAGGGAGTGTAGTTCTGGAAGGCTGCCTGTCCTGACTGAGAGCCACAGCCTGGACTCCGCACCCCGGCAGGAGCCATCAGAGGTGAGCCGAGCCTATAAGGATGGCAGGTCATGGAGGTGACAGGGGGAGGAGGGGAGCAGACCGTGGTTGGGGTGAGGGGAGCGGATGCTGATTGATCATGTGGGATGCCGCCATGTCATGAATGATGTTTCAGCTGAGGGGAGGGGTGGCAGGGGGGATGAAGAAAGGACAGAGGAAGATGTCTTGGGCCACTCCTTCCAGTGTTCCTCTAAGACTCAGTCTCTTATTGCAAGCCGCTTGGTGGCTGCTGATCACTGTGGAGTTTTTTTTTAGCTGTTTTCTTTTTTTTTTGTTTCCCTGTCTGATTGGTTAATACAGTGAATTTATATTTGGTCAATATATATGTTTCCTTTATTATTGGTGCTGGTGGCATCTTATGGCACTTATTTTTGCAAATTAAAAGAAATGTATCAGTTTCATGTTTTAGTGATTTAATATTTTCTACTGTTTTTAAATACTTTTATCTATTTTTTTTTTTTTTGGGGGGGGGGAGAGTGTGCAGGTAGCTGGTCTTGCCTAAGGTGCAAAATAATCTAGCACCAGCCCTGGTTGTTATAGGTTACTGTTCATCAATTATCTGCATACTACCTGTGTATGCTGATTATGAGTTTAAATTTTACACTTTTGCATAAAATCCTGTGAAGCTGAAGTACTGATAATACATGAAATTTTTTGCTCTTTGATGACAATCCTTATAAATTACTAAACATTTTAAGTATGGATACTTAAAATTAAGCAATCGATAGGAGACATACAGGCACAGTGGACCCACCTCTGCATCCATTATCTTTGTGATGTTTGATTGTGTTCCAATATAATAGTCAATTCCTTGAATTGCTCCTTCGAGAGTTGCCCCTCGAACCAACAATATGATAAGGACAACATAAGGGAACACTGCAGTAAAGTAAACCACCTGCAATTAAGGAGAGATAATTCTTTATTTGGCATCAAGATACTGTATATTTAAATCGTTAGGCATAGATTCCCTCTCATTTAAAAACAATACAGTATTAACTAGATAGATAGATAGAATTTCATTTTTAATGACACCGTTCACAAAACTTGTTATTGCATGAAGCTACAGTATGGGTATAGCATTGCTCCCATAATGTGAGGTAATGTGATGTGTAATGTAAGGTGCAGCTTGATATTTCATCTTCTAATAATATAAGCCACAATAAAATAGCATGCCCCTTCCCAATGATGAATCAGCTTGCCACAGGAGGGATACTGACTGGTATCCCTGCAATCAGGTGCCTTGTACATGCATTGAACTGCTATGTGAATACCAACCTTTTACTAACCTATATACCCATCAACATAAGACTGCTGTGTCATTATGAAGGGACAAAAAAACAGAATGGTCTTCTTTCCAAAAAATACTAGGCCATTTTAAAGACACACCAGGGGCGGACTGACCATTTGGAAACTCAGGCACTGCCCGATGGCCTGGGGTCAGTAGGGGGCCCCATGAGATGCCCCTGGTACCTTTTTCATAGGCTTTTTTGAGTTTGGGCAAGGACACAGGGGCCCCATGATCCCCTATTGTCCGGGGGCCCCATGAGTTGTCAGTCCGCCCCTGGGAAACACATGACTATTCCATACTTAATGGGCATGGAAAAGGTACAAGACCTTCTAAATGGAAACCTAAATTAAGGTAGAGAAGAGATATTTAAAACCCTAATCTTGTTACTCCGCTATGTCTGGGTAAAAAAAAAATCAATGTACCTTAAGCACAAGCTAATATTTTGATGGAAAGGACCTATACTAAAACTTTTTGCTCTTCTCTTTCTTCTTATACCATCTAAAGAGGGACGATCAGAGACATATAGAAAAGGCTACTTGACCAGTTTGTCAGTATGGCAGAGAGCTCTATGATCATCTGGACACTACTGTAAAATAACCAGTAAACTTGGTTCAAAGTTAAACTTGCATTACATACATAATTGGGTCCATTGTGTGTTTTTAAAATAAGAAAAAGTGTATTGCCACTTTTTCAGCCAAACTGGGATAACACCTACATTTTATGTTGTCATAGGGGGATTGGTTAGCTCAGTGGTAGATGCATTTTTAAGTGAGCCCATGCCAGTCAGAACTTAGGTTTTGGGGCTTGCCAGCCCACAGGCACAAAGATATTTTTTGTGTATGTACCTTCCCAGATGATTTAATTCCTTTAAAGAGTGCAGCTCCAACAATAATCCAAGCTAAAAGTAAACAAAGCGCCAAGTACCAAACCACTTCACCAGTTTCATCCAGCCCACTAGAGCGGCGAAGTGCCACCTTCCTGAAATACAAGGAAAAATAAAACTTTAAAGACATGTATGTACAGGTGCTTACATATGTGCGTTTGTTTGTGTGGTCTTTCAGATTCCTATGTAGAATCCAGCAGGGACATTTTACCACATTGTTTAAATAAAGTAAGGATAGGTATAGATGGGCATTGAGAGAGCAATGGAGCCCAATCGGTTTGTGTCTGAACTGAATACAGTCTGTGCAAAATTCAATATGTCCTTTCCACTGCAGTCTTTAGGGATTGTTAGACCATATGAGCAACACTTCTGAAATGTAAAGCAGCACATGATTGTTTTGTCAAATACAGTGGTAGCATATAAACACATGCCAAAGGATTCTCAAAACACAATGGGTTAGCTAATATAAGATCACAACATGCCTGACATGGACTAAGCCATCTGATACAGGATGAGTCACAACTGATTTACTTGTCTCTGTAAAGAACATACTTTTTTCTTTTTGAAATGGTGTAGTTATACAATGCTTTACATGAAAAGGAGGCTAGGGCTCAGCTGCTGAGGGAATAGAAGACTACATGTTATTTCATATTTACCTGACCAGAAATATACAGTATATATATATATATATATATATATATATATATATATTTATTTTAGCTCTTACATCAATAAAAATAAAACTATATAAAATACATAACAATATGGAAATGTGCCAAAATTATATAAACAAATACTTATACAGTCCACCCCATAGAGCAACTCTATATCAATATTCCAAAAAATTTTTTAAAAAGTCCAAAAAAAGTCCAAGCAAATTAATATAAATCCAAAAAATTCCAAAAAAAATAAAATAAAACTGAGAAATTCTTCCAATCCTTCCTTTCTCACGATAAACCTCAAACAAAAAGAAAAATATCACATAGTGTATTATCTTTATAATATAATGAAATATTTGTGACAACACTCTGGTGATTATCCAAATAAAAATATAATTTATTTTTTAGGTAATTAGTGTAAAAAGTGAACCAAGTGAATCAACATAATTAATTAAAAAAATATAATAAATTAGTGCAAAACACTGTGTACTGTGAAAGTTTTGTTGTATATTGGTTTTTCTAATTTGTCACTTATTATATTTGAGGAAGTGGTAGTTATAGATATATATAAAATACATACAGAATATTTCCTCCTTCATAATATTATTTGGAAAGTGGAACTGTTTAAGATCCAACTACAGCTCTGAAATTAACAGAACAATTTAGACAAAATAAGAGATCTATAAATTTATAGATTTTTGTAGATCTGAATAACTATCTATTATTATTATATAGTGTTTATATAGTGCCAATAGGTTTGCTCAGCACTGTACAATAAAGTGGGGGGACAGTACATAAGACAATACAGTAACAATACAATACATGAGGGGTTCGAGGGCCCTGCTCTTTCGTGCTTACAATCTAGGAGGGAGGGGGTAGAGGTACAGGAGGAAGTGGCTGTGGGGGATGGAGTGGTAGGAGGAGTGGAGGAGAACGGCTGTTAGGTGAGGGTGGGGTATGCTTCCCTGAAGAGGTGGTTTTTCAGGGAGTGCCTGAAGGTGAGGAGGGTAGGTGACAGTCTGATGGATTGGGGTAGGGAGTTCCAGAGGATGGGAGAAGTCCTGGAGAAGTCCTGGAGTCGGGTGTGGGAGGTGGAGACCAGGGAGCTAGAAAGTAGGAGGTCTTGTGAGGAGCGAAGGGTGTGGGTAGGGTGGTATTTGGGTATCAGGTCAGTGAGATAGTTTGGGGCAGCGTTATGAATGGCTTTGTATGTCAGTTAGTAATTTGAATTTAATGCGTTGGGCAATCGGGAGCCAGTGAAGGGATAGGCAGAGGGGGGTGGCAGAAGTGGAGCGGTTGATGAGGTGAATGAGTCTAGCCACTGAGTTCAGGATAGACTGAAGTGGGGATAGCCTGCGTTGGGGTAGGCCGGTGAGAAGGGAGTTGCAGTAGTCTAGGCGTGAGATAATGAGGGAGTGTACGAGTTGTGTGGTGGTGTCTGGGGTTAGGAAAGTACGTATCTTGGAGATGTTGCGGAGGTGGAGCCTGCATGAATTTGCTAGTGATTGGACATGAGGTTGGAAGGAAAGGTTTGAGTCCAGGGTGACACCTAGGACTTTGGCTTGCGGGGTGGGATTGATGGTGGCGTTGTTGGTTGTGATGGAGAGGATGGGGGGGGGGCGCCGGCTGGGGGGAAACTAGGAGCTCGGTTTTGGAAAGGTTTAACTTGAGGAAATGGAGCGACATCCAGTCTGATATGTTGTTTAGGAGGTGAGTGATGCGGGCGGAGACTGAGGGGGTGAGGTGAGGGGTGGAGAGGTAAATTTGTGTGTCATTGGCGTAGAGGTGATAGTTGAAGCCGTGGGAGTGTATAAGTTTGCCAATGGAGGAAGTGTAGATGGAGAAGAGAAGGGGTCCGAGGACAGAGCCTTGGGGGACCCCAACAGAGAGGGGGAGCGAGGGGGAGGTGGCAGCATTATAGGTAATACTGAAGGAGTGTTGGGATAGGTAAGAGGAGAACCAGGAGAGAGCAGAGTCCCTGATGCCAAGGGAGTGTAGTTTATTAAGGAGGAGGGGGTGGTCGACTGTGTCGAAGGCCACGGAGAGGTCAAGGAGTAGGAGGACTGAGTAGTGGCTGTTAGCTTTGGCGGTTAGCAGGTCGTTAGTGATTTTGAGGAGGGCGGTTTTGGTGGAGTGTAGGGGACGGAAGCCGGACTGTAGTGGATCAAGGAGGTTGTTGTCAGTAAGGTGGGCGCTTAGGCGATTGTAGACTAAGCACTCAAGGAGCTTGGAAGTGAGTGGCAGCAGGGAGCAATGCTTCATCTAACCACTAGTCTACAATTGCAGAGTCTGGTTTTGATGGTACCCAGTCCTCAGGTCTTGGCTATCCTATTGATGTCAGAGGGCTTAAGGCTGAAAATCCCTGATTAGCACTCCCTCTCTAAATAGTTAAAGAATAATTCCAGGCAGGGTATATTTTTACATTGCTTGATTGGTCCAGCTTGTACTAATGTAACTATGTGTAAACCATACCTGGTCAAAGCTCCTGGAAGATGGAAATCACTGAAGTAGATACCACTACTCCAGTGATCTCCACTTGCTTCTAGGTCCTGTGCTGAGTGTCTGGCCTGATGCATTGTGAGCACAGGGGATCTGCTGCTTGGTGCAGATGCCATTTACACAATGTGTTGCATTTTCCGAATCAATGCAGAGCATTCTCTGAATGAATGAAGTGGAGAGATGGGGTGATGATGTCACACGGTCCACCTCTTCCAATCAGAGACTGCTTTGCATACCTTCAGTAAATACAAAACATTCTGTGAATGGTGCTAGTGTTGAGCGGCCCACCTCCTGTATTCACAATGCATCAGGACAGCCACTCAGCATGGGACCCAGAAGCAAGTGGATATAATTAAATTAGCACTGCTTACTTCAGTGATTTCCAGCTTTGGCCAGGTATGGTGTATTTGTAATTACAATGGTCGAAGCTGGAGCTAAGTAACATGTAAAAATATACCATGCCTGGAATTCATTTTTAAGTGGAAGATGTCTAACTCTGCTCTGAAGAACTTTAACCAACAATAGATAATGATAATGGGCATAAGAAGCATACACTTACTCCCAGTACTGTTTACTAGGCAGATCCACGTCTTCCAGGACTGTACTGTTGGCCAAGCAGGTCATATTATTTTCTTTCACCCATGTTAGGTTTATGGTCATTATATTATCATCCATTGAAACATTGCATGATCCTAGATTAAGACAACATTTTTACCATCTGTGTATATTACATGTCGATTTATACTATGCAGAATTCATTTCAAAGGCAAGCAAGTATATTATAAAATAATATTTTAAAATTTATTTAGTCACAATAAGGCTGCTTTCACACTGGTCCACCGCAAAAACACGACAAAAACGCATGTGCATTTTTTGCCACAGTTTTACCACTCTTTTGCCTCACTTTCGGAGTGTTTTAAAGAATTTGTGACTTAAAAACTGCACCAAAAACGCTTCTCGGAGTCGTTTTTTTAAGAGTTTTCCATTGATTTCAATGGGAAGAGGTATTTTTGAAGCATTTTTTCTAACTGAACAAACATGCTCCAAAGATGCTGCAAGCAGGAGTTTTTGCACCACAATGGAACCACAACGCCCCAGTGTGAGAACATACATAGACATACATACATAGGGAAGCATTTTTCTTGAGCTTTTCAGGCGCTTTTTTTAACGCAAAAGCACTTCAAAAACTTCTCTTTGTGAAAGTAGCTTAAAATTTTGTATTTTTAAAAATAATAAGATTTTGTTAAAGCCCAAATATAAAGTAATTAAAGCTGTGGGCAACTTCCAATCTAGAAAATATTTAGAAAAATATAAATAAAACAATGGATGAAGCATCCTTTTTAATAGTGAAACCTCACACCTCCTTCTACCAATCTGAAATGCCCGGGGAATGTACTGAGGCAAATTAGCTTGTCACTCATGTTTGAAAGCAGTGGGCACTTTCAATACACAGGGTTTACTGGAAAAGCCTTATATGATGTAAAAGCCATAGGGCAGTCCATTAATGTCACTTCCATTGCACTACTCCTCCTTGGTGTCCCTCACCTATTGTATTAAAGGATAAGTTCACCTTTGGAACATGTTACATGTTACACCCATCCCATTTTTAGGGTGGAACATGCAACATGTTCCCATAGCTGCAGCCGCTCCCTCCCTCTGACAGATTGTACGGGGAGAGGTTTCCCCATACTATCTGTCAGATTTGAAAACCACGTGGCCGTGCGGGGCTCCACCCAGAGTTCTGTGAATGAGTGCCTACAAGTCCCAAGAGCAGCTGTCGGCTTGTAGTGTTCAATGAATTTCCCACAGCGCTATGGAACACCATAGTAGTTCATTGAAGCTTCCTGTCAGTATATCTGCTTGACCATACATCCCATGCGGCAAGCAGATATTCTGACAGGTCTGTAGGAGACATGGAGAGCATCAGTGATCTGCTGGTCACTGGTGCAATGCTTTCCAGGCTCCTTTGGACAAAAATAATAAATGCACTTTTTTTACTTGCAAAAAAAAAGTGCATTTATTATTTTTTCCAAAAGGTGAACTTATCCTCTAAGGATACATTAATTAATACACATGAAATGTCCAGAAGAATTTAAGGAATGTTGCAGATTTGTGGTGATGAAAAGCCATACCTTTTTTTTGGTATGTCTAATTGACACTGATCCCTTTTCTCCAAGTTGTTGTCAAGTAAAAATATCTGCTGGACATGACCTGTTATGGTGGAAAATGTATTCACTGTCATTCCTACTCAGGAAGTTAAAAAAAATGTTACATTGATGTGCCAATTTGTCAACTTTTAGCTGGCATTAAATCTTAATAAAATGTAAAACTGAAAGGTGATATAAATTAGATGAATTCGGTTAATTGTCCTTTTTGAAGCCAGTGTTAAAAAGAAGAAAGAAATAGTTGCTTAAAGGCTGATTTTCATCTTAAGGGGTAAGTTCACCTTTTTTTTTTTTTTGCAGGTAAAAAATGTGCATTTATTATATTTGTACACTGGAGCTTGTAAAGCATTGCACCTGTGATCAGCAGATCACAGAGCAACTGGTGCTGGCAGTTACTGAATTGGAGGAAGGATCAATAAACTATGAAAGCACTCACCAGCGCTCTTGCAGTTCATTGAGAACTACAAGCTGTCGGCTGCAATGGCCAATGGAACTTGTAGTTCATTCATACACAGAACTCTGTGAGTGAATGAAGGACGTGGCTGTGTGGGTGGAGCCCCGCATTGCCGCAATGTTTTTAAATTGGGACAGCAGGTTCAGGGAGAAGATCCCCCTCCCACTGTCACAGGGAGGTGGGAATTGGGGGGAGAGAAGGAAGAAGCTGGAACATGTTACATGTTCCACCCTAAATATGTACGGTATACGGTAACATGTTCCAAAGGTGAACTTATTATTTAACAACCCTGTGATCCTGGCTATCTGTAGACTTATTAGATAAGCACACTGTAGAAAAAAGAAACAGCTGGTTGAGGAATTCTCAGAAACTGGAACTTCAACGAGTGTCAGATTCCTGGTTCCCTTGTCCTTTCTGTGGTACGATCCACTGGCTCTTATGTTACTACTGGGTCTTGTAGGGATATAGAGGTTGGTAGGAGGAACCACAGAATGCAACAGGGGGCCAGGGAATCGATACACCCGAGCTTCTTAAGATTCTTCAATTGTCAATTTCTCTTCACTGCAGCAGATTGGTGGCACAGGCTGTGGATATCTAAGTTCTTCTTTGCAATTGCGGTTTTATTTGAAGTTTTCACTTTTAGGTTTATCTGCATTACTTTTCTTAACATTCACGTTGACTTGTAAAAGAAACAAAAGAGTTTCAACTCAGATGAATAGGATGCAGTCCATTTGCTCTATGGCAAAGCAAAGCAAATTTAAGGGCTCGTTCACACTTGGCTGTTTTACCAACGCTTTGCCAAACGCCCCTATAGCGTTTGGCAAGCGTTGGTCCGGCGGTTGCTGAGCGTTTTTTAACGCTCGGCAAACGCTCGGCAAACGCTGCATGAGCGGTTTAGCGGCGGTTGCTAGGCATTTGCCAAGCGTTAATAACGCCCCACAAATGCCTATAATGCAGTTTGAGTGGTGTTACCGCTCCGCAAACGCCCCCGCAACCGCGTCGCAACCGCACCGCAAACGCCGGCCAGGCGTTTGCGGAGCGGCACCATAGACGAGAATAGGAGGCTTCAAAGCCTCCTGACTCGACCAGAGGCGTCCGTTTTGCCGCGACGCAACGCGACGCAAAAGCTCCCGTTAGAACAGCACCATGTGCTGTAATGTGCAGAATTGGCAGAGGTGTTTGGGAAGCGGTAAAAAACGCTTCCCAAACGCCTCTCTGCCGCCTGCACACAAGGCTAGTGTGAACGTAGCCTAACAGTGATCACACATAATTACTTCTCAGTTAGATCCAGATAAAAAAAACAAATACTTTCCAAACAACTTAATGCAAGCTGAACTCAAAAGCAAACATCCACCTGCCTTAGACCCTACAATGTTTTATATAAAGTCCAACTTGTAAATACAATATTTTCTATTATTATTAGTATTATTATACAGGATTTATATAGCGCCAACAGTTTGCACAGCGCTTTACAATGTGAGGGCAAACAGTACAGTTATAATTCAATAAAAAAGAATCAGAGGACCCTGTTCATTAGAGCTCACAATATAAAAGAGGAGGGTCAAGTGATACAAAAGGTAATAACTGTGGGGGATGAGCCGATAAAGAAAATATATGTACAGTTCTTAGGTGGAGGCAGGATAGGCTTCTCTAAGAGAAAAGTTTTCAGGGATCACCTAAAAGTGGGCAGAGTAGGAGAGTCAGACAGATTGGGGTAGGGAATTCCATAGGATGGGAAAGGCTCGGGGGAAGTCCTACAGGCGAGCATGGGAGGAGGTGACAAGGGAATTAGAGAGTAGCAGGTCTTAGGAGGAACGAAGAATGCAATTTGGTTGGTATTTTGAGACTAAGTTAGTGATGTATCTGGGCACCAAGTTGAGGATGGCTTTGTAAGTTGTTGTTAGTATTTTGAATTTAATTTGTTGGGTGAGTGGCAGCCAATGGAGGGACTGGAAGAGAGGGGTAGCAGACACTGAATGGTTGGTAAGGTGGAGGAGTCTGACAGCAGCATTCATGATGGACTGGAGGGGGGATAGCCTATGTAAAGGTAAGCCAATGAGGAGGGCGTTGCAGTAGTCAAGGACAGAGATAACTTGGGAGTGAATTAGGAGCTTTGTGGTGTCATTGGTAACGAAGGGGCATACTTTGGAGATGTTGCGGAGGTTGAGATGGCAAGCTTTGGAAAGTGATTGGATGTGGGGCTGAAAGGAGAGTTCAGAGTCCAGGATTACACCTAGCACCCTGGCATGCGGGGATGGGTTGATGGTTGTGCCATTGATCTTGACAGGGAAGTCAGGGGAAGGAGCATGTGGGGGAGGAAAAATTAGGAGCTCTGATTTACATAGATTGAGTTTGAGGAAGTGGTGTGACATCCAGGCTGATATGTCAGTCAGTAAGTTAGTGATGCGTGCAGAGACTGTTGTGAGCTGAGGGGCAGAAAGATAGATTTGGGTGTCATCAGCATAGAAATTATATTGAAAGCCATGGAAGGCTATCAACTGACCCAGGGAAGAGGTGTAGATTGAGAATAGAAGAGGTTCAAGAACAGAACCTTGGGGGACCCCAAAGGAAAAAGGAAGAGGAGAGAAGGAAGTAAAATTGTAAGTGACACTGATGGTGTGGTGGGACTATGATTTAATAGATGTTTGGATAATAAAAAATAAGTAAGGCAACAGTTTAAACTGCACAGCCTGCACCCTAAAACAACCACAATTTCAGGTTTGTAAATGCAATATTTTCTATTTATAAGCAGTAGTTCAAATCCATACCTCGTGTGGTCTTACTGCACTTTGCATCTGCCCAGCTGAAACAATCGGACCAAGGCAACACACGTTGAAAGGAGGCAAACAAATAATACAAGCTATAGGCAATGATAACATTGTAGTAAATGCAAACTAATGTTGTGATGAGGACCATAGTGACACCAACACCTAGAACAAAGGAAAAAAAAATTAGAAAGCAGCCCGATATTGCACAATTTACATAACTGTAACACTCTAAATCAAAAATCAATAATAATTTCCTAAATTAATAGAATTGTTTAAAGAACACCAGGGGAACAGCAAAATAAATGAATGACATGTTTACTATTATTCTGCCAAAGAATTGTAATTCTGGCCAATCATTCTTCTGCCAGTCAATAAGATCACTCTACAACTTCATAGCTTAGCATTACTGCTTTCTAGGTCAGCTCTCCACACATTATACAGAGGCAATGATGCAAATTTAATGTCCTATAATGAGGCCAGAGATGGAGAGATGACCTAGGGATGTTACCTGTCTGGCTGTACATCAAAAAATGTGTGCAGATCACAAGACTGTTTATAGAGAATCACAAACCTTTTGCCAGGTAAAACAGTTAAATCTTCAAACTGGGTATTTTGCTGTCACCATAGAGTTTCACTGTAAGGTGTCAAAGAGGTAAATGCAAGAATATAATTTTTGGTTCTTTTAGTGTTCCTAAAGCATATGGCTGCTTTTGCCTAAAAGCTAATGCAACCACATTTTGAACCAAAAATGCATTTACCTATATTGTTAATACCCTGCCTACTAATGTATGATGCCTAGACACTGTACCTATAGCCTCCAAGTGACTGAAAAATAAATCTAGGGCCTATGCATATATTAGAAAGACAGATGTCCATGGCTCCAGCTTTCTTATTTTTGCTTTAGGTTTAGTAAACATTGAGTATACATTGTATAAAGCATTGTATACATAACATTCTTTTAGCAGAAAATAGTGGATATGAATGGGTTCGCACATCTGTTTGTATATTTTGCATGCAGTGTATGTCATAGCAAAAAATAAATCATGATAATAATAATAATAATTATTAAAAAAAAAAAAAAAAAAAAAAATATATATATATAATATATATATATATATATATATATATATATAATGCAGTACATCTTTGCAATACATGCGCATCTCCCCATTTGTTTGCCTTAAAAGACCTTGCAGGTACAGAAAAATACTGTTGAGGATCCAAAAATGTAATTAGCTCCAAATTTCTCATTGTGAGCTAACGACACGCACAGTATTTACTCTGGACTTAATTGTATCAGCAGTGCCCAGTTCCCTTTTGCTAAACCACTATTCCTATCATCATAGCCACAACACAAAGACTCTCAAGATAATCCCTTTGCACAGGACAGAGGACAGTTCAGGATTCTTGACCCGTTAGAACAGGTATTTTTTTTACTTATCAGTCAGATATAATATAAAACACCTTGATGGCTATATTTATTAGTTGACCAGTGTTTCTCAAACTTTTTTAGTCAAGGCATACTTAAAAATTGAATGGACAGTCTGGAGGCACTCCATTCTAATAATGGGGGTGCCTTCCCAGACTGTCCATAATTTTAAAAGGGCATCTAAAATGAGAGAAAAACTAAGTGACCCCAGCACTGATGGAGAAGAAGGGCAGGGAGGGTCAAACTAGGATGCTGTGCAGGCAACTGACCATCTCCTTATCAAATGATGATGTCATTAGTTGTCAGGACGCCAACACTATAAGGTCGTAATGGTGCACAATGAAAATGTGGCTTTGTGTAAATAAAAGGTAGGCTTTGTTCCATCGCTGGCTTGTATACAAATTTTGGTGCAATTTTTGACATTTTTGCGAAGGCATCCCCATGAAGAAAACTCAAGGCACCCTAGTTGAGAAAGGCTGTATTAGACCAAAAGGTGACCCAATAAAACCCACCCCTTCTATGGAGCTCTTCTGTGCAGGCCAAGCCAGGACATAGAGGACTTGTGGCATGGGATGTAAATAATCCTTGGTAACCACAGCCATTGGATCGAGGTAAATATACATCCTCTGGTCGATTAGGTCACCTTAAGGGGGCAAACAGATAATTGCCCTTTCCCTGAAAGTGCACCTATCCTGTAAAGTAAATGTTTACAGAGGGAAATGTGGGGTCTGCCATTAGCGACCTCCCACTACAAATACTGATCAAATGGTTCAATACTTTCTGAATTACAGATCCTGAACAAGAATCAGGAAATTCAGAATCCAAATGTGATAGTCAATAGTAGTATTTGTGTGCTTGTTTCAGGTCAGCTCCTTATACTATTAAAGCTAGAAGTTCAGCATAACAGCCAGGCCACTAGCATTTAAAGATAGAAAAGTCAGTAATGGCTGCCTTCAATAAACAAATAAAATTTTGTCAATCGTAGTTCATTCATATTTTAGATTATAACTGTATTGATCATCATAGGTAATTATTATCTTTTATTAGGGATTGGGTCAGTTTATTTAGAATTTAATTGATCCATAAGTTAGATTTAATGATAATTTTATCTGATAATTTGCTATATGTGAATATACTGTATTATATACTGTATATACACTATACTGCCAAAAGTATTGGAACACCCCTCCAAATCATTGGGTTCAGGTGCTCCCATCACCTCCATGGCCACAGGTCCTAGGCACGCAGACTGCTTCTAGAAAGAAACATTTGTGAAAGAATGGGTCGCTCTCAGGAGTTCAGTGAATTCAAGCGTAGTACCATGACAGGTTGCCACGTGTGCAATAAGTCCATCTGTGAAATTTCCTTGCTACTAAATACTGCACGGTCAACTGTTAGTGGTATTATAAGTGTAAGCAACTGGGGACAACAGCAATTGAGCCACAAAGTGGTAGACCATGTAAAATGACAGAGCAGCTCAGTGCATGCTGAAACGCACAGTGCGCAGAAGTCGCAAACTGTCTTCAGAGTCAATAGCTAAAAACCTTTAAACTTTGTGTGGCCTTCAGATTATTAGCATAACAACGCATAGCATAGAGAACTTCATGGAATGGGTTTCCATGGCCGAGTAGCTGAATCCAAGCCTTATATCACCAAGTGCAATGCAAAGCATCAGATGCAGTGGTGTAAAGAACACTGCTACTGGACTCTAGAGCAATAGATACGGTTCTCTGGAGTGATGAATCACACTTCTCTGGCAATCTGGTGGACGTGCATGGGTTCAGCGATTGCCAGGAGAATGGTACTTCCTGACTGCATTGTGCCAAGTGTAAAGTTTGGTGGAGGGGGAATTATGGTGTGTGGGGTTATTTTTCAGGCGTTGAGCTTGGCCCCTTAGTTCCAGCGAAGGAACTCTTAAGGAATTAGCATACCAAGACATTTTGGACAATTTCATGCTCCCAACTTTGTGGGAACAGTTCGGGGGATGGCCCCTTGCTGTTCCAACATGACTGCACACGAGTGCACAAAGCAAGGTCCATAAAGACATGGATAAGAGAGTTTGGGGTGGAGGAACTTGACTGGCCTGCACAGAGTCCTGACCTCAACCCAATAGAACACCTTTTTGATTAATTAGAGCGGGAGACTGCGAGCCAGGCTTTCTCAGCCTGACCTTGCGCTGCTGGAAGAATGGTCAAACACTCCCCCATAGACACACTCCTAAACTTTGTGACAGCCTTCCCCAGAAGAATTGAAGCTGTTATAGCTGCAAAGGGTGGGCCAACTCAATACTGAACCCTACAGACTAAGACTGGGATGCCATTAAAATTAATGTGCGTGTAAAGGCAGGTGTCCCAATACTTTTGGCAATATAGTGTATATTGTAGATGGATCCAATAGTACTAACTGTTATATGTAAAATAAACCTAAACATCATTTTCTTCACATTTATTTGTCCATCAGCTTTAACTAAAGAACGTGAGCAGGGTATTGATAAACAATGTATCAAGTGTAAGTATAACAAGTCAGATCTAGGCTTAAAAGGGTTTAAAAAAAATAGCATTTTTCTGGGCTATGGAAAGGTGTGGTAGACTGGATTACTGTGTTGGCAATTCCTGTATTAAACCTAAGAAGCTAAGGGCAGGGACATGATCTCCTTGCCAACTTCCTCATGCCTTAATTAAAAACAAGACCCAAGGAAGGAGCACACAGCTTACACAGCAAACACAAAATGTCAATAACTTCTATTGTCTTTAGAGTGCCAGAAACAGTATCAGGGAAAATTGCAACAGCATTGTAAAATTTTGGATTTTCCCTCCCTTACAGTCCTGGTGACAAAGTTCACTAGGGCAAAAGAAGATAATTCTCCCAAGAAGATACACAAACAGCAACAGAAAACTGACAAGGTGTCTACTTTTTCTTACAATATACAACTTTATTGCTTTGACAATATTGATAATATTGAAATATTGATAAGTAATATTGATAGGAAAACTGCAGTAACCATAGCAATTGGCTAATTTATATACTAATCAAATCAGATGAGTGATGGGCTGAAACACATACTGACTACTAAGCTTTGTAGGCTGCTTTTTTTACCTTTATAAATAGCTCACAAATAACACATAATAAATACTGGCATCAAGACTAATTTTATTAAAACGGATTCCCTTCTACGGTAAATGCAATGATTTACAGAAAATAATTCAATTATCATTTATTAAAAAAAAAACTCAATACAAATGTTTGTGTACCTTGTAGAAGCGGTACAACACTCCACACTGATATAGGTCCCCGACTGGAAAATTGTCCCATCGAACACTCCAAGAAGAAAAGAGGAAGTCCAGCAAGTGCAAGCATAATTGTGTAAGGTATCAGGAAGGCTCCTGCAGATTTTAAATAAATAATTCTTTATTAGTTATCAAAAAATTTAACTTGCATCTAGCTCAAAATTTAATTGATTAGTTTGTGTTTGGTCAGCATATGACCCTGCTTCTCTTTTGCTCTGCTCAGTGTGAAAGTGATGGGAAAGCAGACGTGGCATGCTGACCAATGCCAACACCATTGTGAGATGGGGTAGAGAAGTGCATATTGCCAAGGAAATAATGGTGGTGTGTTTTCAAGGGTAAAATGTCCTGCATTGCTAGAGCATTGATTTCTTTCTAAAGCTTAAACAAAGTCAGTCAGGTCTGTTAAGAAAATAATAGAAGATACAGTAAAATAATATTGCCAAACAAAATATGTTTTGCCAGGGAATGCCATTTTTAGGAATGTCTTGTATGAATACCAGACAGTATGATATTGCCAGTAGACAGGGAAGTGTCACACTGCCAAAGGGATGCTATGCTGTATAATATTTCAGAAGCAATCCCATTCTTTTATAGAGGTGCTGTGCTGCCAATGTCCAGAGCCTGGTCATGTTGCCAAAAAGGAAGCAATTTTCCAGCTCCTTGGATCACCCATCTACCCTTCTGTATGCTCTTGTAGACCAATCCTTTTCTGACACTTTTTATTTACATGTAAAAATCTGTATTTTTTGCTAGAAAATTACATAGAAAACCAAAACATTACATATTTTTAAAGCAGAGGCCCTAGAGAATAAACTGGTGGGTGTTGCAATTTTTTATGTCACACAGTATGTGTGCAGAGGTTTTTTAAATGCATTTGTTCTTTTTTAAAAAATACACTTTAATGAATTTTAATGCACAAAAACACAATATAACACTCAACCGTTTAGCAAAATATATAAAATGATGTTCTTCTCCCTTCCTCTCCCTTTTTTTGTAATGAATGCTAATATATTTTTTTCTTATACATAGAATGGGCCTAATCCAACAATCTGGCAGGCCCATATCTCTTCTTTTTTGCGACTCTTGATTGAAAGGTCTTCTGAGATCTATGTGATCATGGCTCCTTGGCTGCCTCATGGAAAATTAGATGCCATTGCTTGGTAAAATTGAAATACTATGGTAATGTATGTTTGTTGTTCTTACCTATAGTTTTCAGTTTGCTTATTATTGTCTTGTTTATAATTTTAGAACTGTGTGTAAAAATCTCCCTGAGGAAGCAGGCTTTTTTCCTGTGAAACGCTTAGGAGAGAAAAAAAAAATCTTAAGACATTGCACACAAGCTGTACACCTACTCATTGTATCTTATATTGGAATCCTTTGGAATATTTTTGTATATCAAGCCTGATGATTTGAATAGTCACAATATGTAATGGCTACATATTTTCATGCATAGAGCACTATCTATGCTCAAATTGTTTATCTCAACTCTGTTTTTAATGTTGTGGAATAAAGATATATATTTTTATAACTTGTATATGGAGTTTTGTCGGTATGGTGCCTGTTAAAGCCCCATTAGTTTCCTTTTTGCTACAGTCCCACTTTTCAATGGTGTTTACATGCCTCACCTCCATATAGGGGGGGGGGGGGGGGGGGCAGGGGTATTGCTTATAAGAAACCCTGATTTTTATAATTTTTGGTCTGGGTCCTGGAACCTGGTGTCTTTGTAGAGTTTTGGTGGGTTAGAGTCTCCAGTCATAGGTCCATATGTCATTTTACTTGTTAGCTTGAACTCACTAATTAGTCTCAGATGTCCACAGGCCTGTTTATGTAAGGGCTCTCTATGCTCAGGGCTCTGTCTCACTCTGCTGATGTGGGAGTTTGCTGCAGGGTGAAAAGGCTGAGTGCTGACAAGCCTGAACTGTACTAGAGCTGCCTGTTTGTTTTTGGGAACCTATTAAAGGGCACCCTGTTAGTAAAGAATGGTCCTGAGTTTTTACAGTGACTTGCACAAGCAGATGTTTTGTTTTGTGCTATGCACTAGCTGTACAAAGCCCCCCAATCCCCTGCACTGATGCTATGTTTGTTTACTACATTGTTGAATAACAGTGTAGGACTTCCCAGAGTGTTACTGGATGTCCCTGTCTTGTGTATTTATCAGTGCCCTTACCAGTTGAGTCTGCCCCCTTTACAGTACATACAGTATATGTATGTTTATGGGATTATTTCTTTATTCCTCTGACACTCCCTTAGGCAACCTCCACCCCCCACCCCCACCCTCTTTGTCTGCAATTATTGATACTGAAGTTAAAGTAGATGCAAACCCCACACTGACATTTACAGTAGTTTGCTAAAGCACTGTGTATCAAAAATAACTGGCACATTTTTTAAATATATAATACTTGTTTTCACGTTTTTCATCCTTTTTTGCATTTCATTGCTGATGATCTCCTGCATCCTCTTCTAGTCTACACACATGCATTCAAGTGATGGCAGCATGGCATTTCTTAGTCCAGGTTTCTTAATGGTGACAACAGTGGACACATGCCTATGTGATGTGTGTTGAGATAACCACTTTACAAGCCCATGTTGCAGGAAGACAATACAGGGGCACATTTGAGAAACAGGGACAAAAAGCTGTCACCTTCTAACATGAAGTTCTTAAACAAGGAACTTTTGCAGCAGGGTCACCAGGTATTGTTTTAATAAAAAATGACAGTTTTAAAATGACTTTTCAAACAGGCATTTATATATTCTTATATAGCGCCATCAATTTACGCAGTGCTTTTACATATATATTGTACAGTTACATCAGTCCCTAACCCTCAAGGGGTGTACAATCTAAGGTCCCTAACTTACATTCATACTAGGGCCAATTTAGACAGGATCCAATTAACCTACCAACATGTCTTTGAGTATGAGAGGAAACCGAAGTACCCAGAGGAAACCCACACAGGCACAGGGAGAACATGCAAAGTCCAGGCAGGTGGTGCCATGGTTGGGATTCAAACCCACGAGAGATTTTAGAGATTGGGGCTACACGTCAATTAATTGTTTTTTGCCATTTTCCTCTATAAAGTGAAAACGCATGGAAAATTAATGTTAGAAACACTAAGCATACACATAAAAAGCTGCATTTTATTTATAAATGAGTAGAGAATATTCACTTTTTGAAGTGAATAAGGGGAAAATATGTTCACTTTAATCACCTAATCATATATATATATATATATATATATATATATATATATATATATATATATATATATATATATATATATATATATATATATCAGGGGTTAAAAGTTCGAGTCCAGACCTACTAGCTGGTCACAAAACTTACTCGCCACCAGTTGCCCCACCCAACCTTGCCCAGGTCCGCCCCCAACCCCACCCGTCCGCCCCCAACCACGCCCCCTTAAAGCTTATGAAATTACATTTTTCTTTAGAATAAATAGTCTGAAATATAAAACTGTACACAGTAATGTATATATCCCAGCTCCCCTGTACTCCATTATAGTGATATGACATGTATACAGTAATGTATATCCCAGCTCCCCTGTACTCCATTATAGTGATATGATATGTATACAGTAATGTATATCCCAGCTCCCCTGTACTCCATTATAGTGATATGACATGTATACAGTAATGTATATCCCAGCTCCCCTGTACTCCATTATAGTGATATGACATGTATACAGTAATGTATATCCCAGCTCCCCTGTACTCCATTATAGTGATATGATATGTATACAGTAATGTATATCCCAGCTCCCCTGTACTCCATTATAGTGATATGACATGTATACAGTAATGTATATCCCAGCTCCCCTGTACTCCATTATAGTGATATGACATGTATACATGATGTATATCCCCCCTCCCCTGTACTCCATTATAGTGATTTGACATGTATACAGTAATGTATATCCCAGCTCCCCTGTACTCCATTATAGTGATATGACATGTATACAGTAATGTATATCCCAGCTCCCCTGTACTCCATTATAGTGATATGACATGTATACAGTAAAGTATATCCCAGCTCCCCTGTACTCCATTATAGTGATATGACATGTATACAGTAATGTATATCCCAGCTCCCCTGTACTCCATTATAGTGATATGACATGTATACAGTAATGTATATCCCAGCTCCCCTGTACTCCATTATAGTGATATGACATGTATACAGTAATGTATATCCCAGCTCCCCTGTACTCCATTATAGTGATATGACATGTATACAGTAATGTATATCACAGCTCTCCTGTACTCCATTATAGTGATATGACATGTATACAGTAATGTATATCCCAGCTCCCCTGTACTCCATTATAGTGATATGACATGTATACAGTAATGTATATCACAGCTCTCCTGTACTCCATTATAGTGATATGACATGTATACAGTAATCATAGTAATGTATATCCCAGCTCCCCTGTACTCCATTATAGTGATATGACATGTATACAGTAATGTATATCCCAGCTCTCCTGTACTCCATTATAGTGATAGGACATGTTGTATACAGTACTTACTGTCCCCCTGAGTCCCCCGCGGCGGTGGAGAGGGTGTCTCCTCTCAGCGGAGGAGAGCGGACCTCTCATGCACTTGTCCCCTCGGCGGAGCTGCCGCAGAAGCCGGAAACCGGAAGTTGTAAACCAGAACTCGGCTTCTTCACAATGAGGCTTGCAGCACAGGTGCAGTCGCTCCAAGCTTCATATGTGCTCACCGCTCGCACACAGAGGAATTTCTCCTCGCATTTGGCGAGTGGGTGAGCGGCTTTTTCAAGCCCTAATATATATATGCAATGGACCGAACTGGATATTCCAAGTAGACATAGCTTAAAGTGGTTGAAAAGGCTCAAGGTTATATTTTTTCCCTAATGCATTCTTTGCTTTAAGGTAAAATAAAACCCCCTTCTATTGTCAGCTGCCCACCCCCCAAATACATACCTGATCCAGATCTCAATCCAGCCCTGTGTCCGAGAGCAGTGGAACTGCACTTTTTCTCACTCACCCCTTGACTCAATGAGAGCAGCTGGAGCCATTGGCTCCTGCTTTTGTCAATCAAATCCAGTAACAAGGAAGCAGGGGGGAGGGCCAAGCTGCACTGTGTGTGTCTATAGACAGACAAAACCTGGATCAAGCCCACACGTGTGCCACCATAGGAAGCAGCTTCCTATGGTGACACACAGGGAAGAGGAGGAGCCTAAAGTGCTGGCAGGGGCCACAAGAAGAGGTGGATTAGGGCTACTCTGAGCAGAACCATTGTACAGAGCAGGTAAGTATGACATGTTTGTTATTTTCAAAAAAATCACTATAAAATTAACTATACAATCACTTTAAGTATATTTTATTGAAAGTAAACCTTCTTTTTTCTTTTCGTAAATTATCCCTAAGTGTGAATTCAGATTTAATGTTGATCGGTTGCTTTGGGCTATTACACTTTTTTTTTACTTCATTAGGACGCAATTATACCAATTGTTCATGAGTTTGGCTTTGCACTTTCCTTTCCACAGTGTCACATGGGATTACTTGCCGAGAAAAGACTCTTGACCGTGCAATTGACATGCTTTAAAAAAATGTTAGTTTATTACTCCATCACTTATTAATGTTTCAGTGTGGTTTGTGTGCTAATAAAGGTCAGAGATCTCTACTTTATGGTAAGTGTAGAACATTTTCACATCTCACTTCCTCATACATCAAGATACCAAGTGTGTGCTGGATATATGGGAACTCACAGAGAACAGAATGTGCCATCATTACAAATTTCACCCTTATTGCTGGTATTGATTTATGAAATCCCTGTCCTAGAGAAGAATGTTAGGCCTGAGTGAAGCCTAAGCTTTGCTAGAAGTGGATCCCAGGCAAGGATATTAAAACAGGATTAATGACGATATTATAGCTTTTACAGGCAGTTGCATCAATTGTTCTTGGATTGATTGGTGTGCACATATTGTCTCAGAGTTTAGAATGAACATAATGCTAGGTATATGTTCTGTGTAATACACCATTGTGAAAGATTAAATAAACTGTCTTGTCACTGATTAACTGGTCATTGAATAAATGCACAATCTGCTGCTTATTGATAAGACTTTGAGCACGTCAATTAGGACTGATTTAAATTCCTTGATTAATGCAAATAAACATCATGGGGGGTAACATTGCCCATTCATCGTCAGGTTTATAAGTTATAGCTATCAAATACCTGTTGCCAAAACATATAACTATACAGCTGGACATGCAAATCACAAGTTCAGCAGTCTGCTATCACTGCTGAAATTGTAGCAAGGCAAAAACGTTTTTTCTTTCTGTAATTGTGACTCTTGCTTAGAAAATAGAAAAGGATCCCGCTTGCAAATTGAAGTAGTGAGTTGATGTGACAACTGACATGTTAATCCCTTTATGTAAGACCAAGGATGTAGATACATTTTTTTTTTGAGGGGGAGGGGTTCAGCTCACAGCTGAGCTGTATTTTTACCACTCCCCCACCCCCTCAACTTCTCCCCCTTGAAGGAAGGAAGGAAGGGGGTGGGTGGAAGGAAAGGAGGGAAGGGTTGGTTGGATGGAAGGAAGGAAGGTAGGAGTGGGTGGAAGGAAGGGGGTGGGTGGAAGGAAGAAAGCAAGGGAAGGAAGGAAGAGGTGGATGGAAGGAAGGAAGGGAAGGGGGGGGTGGATGGGAGGAAGGAAGGGAAGGGGGGGTGGGTGGAAGGAAGGAAGGGGGGGATGGAAGGAAGGGGTGGGGGGAAAGAAGGAAGGAAGGGGTGGATGGAAGGAAGGGGTGGATGAAAGGAAGGGGTGGGTGGAAGGAAGGGGTGGGTGGTAGGAAGGAAGGAAGGGGTGGGTGGGTGTAAGGAAGAAAGGGTGGGTGAAAGGAAGGGATGGGTGGGTGGAAGGAAGGAAAGGAGGGTTGGGAGGAGGGGGGGGGGGTGAGTGTAAGGGAGGAGGGGGGTGTGGGGGGGGGGGGGGGGGAAGGGGGGGGGGGGGGGGGTGGGGGGGGGGAAGGAAGGGGGGGGGGGGGGGGGGGGGAAGGGGGGGGGGGGGGGGGTTGTGGGTAGGGGGGGGGGGGGAAGGGGGGGGGGTGGGGGGGGGGGGGGGGGGGGGGGGGGTGGGTGGAGGGGGGGGGGGGGGGTTGGGGGGGAAGGAGGGGGGGGGGGGGGGGAGGGGGAAAAGGGGAGGAAAGGAAGAGAGAGGTGGGGGGGGGGGAAGGGGTGGAGGAAGGAAAGGTGGGTGGAGGGGGGGGGTGGGTGGAAGAGGGGGGGAGGGGGGGTGGTAAGGGGTGGGTGGAAGGAGGGGGAGGAGAGGGGGGGGGGGGGGGAGGGGGGGTGGGGAAGGGGGGGGGGGGGGGGGGGAAGAAGGGGGGGGGGGGGGAAGAAAGGGGGAGGGGGGGGGGGGGGGGGGGGGGGTGAGGTGGGGGGGGAGGGGGGGGGGGGGGTGGGGGGGGGGGGGGGAAGGAGGAAGGAAGGGGGAGGGGGGGGGGGGAAGGAAGGGAGGGTAGGGGGTAGGTGGGGGAGAGGGAGGGGGGGGGGGGGGGGGGAGGGAGGTAGGGGGGGAGGGGGGGGGGAGGGGGGGGGGGGGATGGGGGGGGAAGGGGGGGAGGGGGGGGTGGGGGAAGGGGGGGGGGGGAAGGAAGGGGGGGGGGGGGGGAAGGAAGGAAGGAAGGAAGGAAGGAAGGGGGGGGGGGGGGGGAAGAAAGAGAGGGTGGGGTGTATGGAAGGGAGGGGGGGGGGGGGGGTGGGGGGGGGGGGGGGGGGGGGGTGGGGGGGAGAGGGGGGAAGGAAAGGGGGGGGGTGGAAGGGGGGGGGGGTGGGGGGGGGGAAGGAAGGGGAGGGGGGGGGGGGGGGGGGGAAAGGGAGGGGGGGGTGGGGGGGGGGGGGAGGGGGGTGGGGGGAGGGGGAGGAGTAAGGAAGGGGAAGGAAGGGGGGAGGGGGGGGGGTGGGGGGGGGGGGAAAGGGGGAAAGAAAGAAGGAGGGGGGGGGGTGGAAAGGGTGGGGGAAAGGGGGGGGGAGGGGTGGGGGGGGGGGGGGGGGGGGGGGGGGGGAGGTGGAAGGGGAGGGGGGGGTGGGGGGGGGGAAGGGGGGGGAGGGGGGAGGGGTGGGGGGGGGGGGGGGAGGGGGGGGGGGGGGGGGGGAGGGAGGGGGGGGGGGGGGGAAGGGTGGAAGGGGGAAGGGAGGGGGGTAGGGGGGGGGGGGAGGGGGGGGGGAGAGGAAGGGATGGAGGGTGGAAGGGTGGGGGGGGTGGGGAAGGAAGAAAGAGGGGGTGGGTGCAAGGAAGAGGGGGAGGTGGGTGGAGGGAAGGAAGGGAGGGGTGGAAAGAAGGGAGGGAGAGTGGGTGGAAGGAAGAGAGGAGTGGGTTGGAGGGAAGGAAGGGAGGGGAGGAAGGAAGGAAGGGAGGGGTGAGTGGAAGGTAGATCTGACTCGTCATGACTCATTCAGAAGCATCAGAGCTGTAGGCTGCTGTGTTCAGTTCCTGCCCACACATCCTCTGAAGCTGCACAGACTGGAGTGTGGGTGGGTACAGGGAGAGGCAAAGCAGATCCAGCCTCTCTTTCCCTCTTCTCCTGTTGGTGCGGAGGATGGAGGGAGGGGGCTGGACAGTGAGAAGAACACAGCTGCGGTGGAAGGGAAGGGAAGGGGGGGAACCAGAAAGAAAATGAAACCATCAGGAATGTTCTGTGTAGCGGTGAGGGAGGTGACAAGCAGCGATCTCCTATATGGTTTTCAATAAAGCAGCTGGAAGCTGCTTATCCTCCTCTCTCTTCCATAGCTTCCAGCTGCTTTATTAAAAGCCATATAGGAGATCGCTGCTTTTCACTGCCCCCACCGCCACCCCTCCCATACACCCCCAGTCCCGGCACTGATCACCGCCCCCAGTGTATTTCCACTCGCAGGTGAATGGAAATTTCGAGGGCTGCAAGGATGGTTGGCAACTCTCCTCTGGGGGGGGTTCAGACCTCCTTTACTCCACCCTTATCTACGCACCTGTGTAAGACCAAGGAAGGCCATGTTCTTACCTCCGCCATTCTTGTATGCAAGGTAGGGAAACCTCCACACATTCCCCAAACCCACAGCATATCCAATCATGGACAGTAAATAGTCTGATTTTCTGGACCAATTTCCCCTTTCCTTGTTTTCATCATTAGAATCCACATGGGTGTCCTAGAGAAAATAAAAGAAAGTCAGTCACACAGAAGAGCTCAGTATAATACACCTGTTTTAGGCTGCATGATTCTATGATCAACTCTTCACACATAGCATTGTTGAATTAAAAATAAAAAAACTGCATAAAGGATAATACATATATTATTAACAGTAATTGATTTTGCCTTGTCTAATCAAATAAAAAAGTGCAGAGTGTAGAACACACGGGGGGGGGGGGGGGGATTTCCTAAAAGTGGAGAGTGAAGCTCCACACAGAAACCAATCCATTTCAATGTTTTATTATCAGCGCTTAATTAAACAAGCTGGAGATAGAAGCTGATTGGCTACTATGCACAACTGCACTAGATTTTTAAAATCTCCAAAAGTAATTTAATAAATCTACCCCACAGTAACCAATTCAGGAATTAAAAAAACATATGCTTGTGCTCGGAATATAGCGGTCCCCCACGGGCAGGTATTTGTTCCTGCAGGGCACCCTCTGGGATCAGGAGGTTACTTTTGTTTCGTACTACACGCCTAATTGCTTTCAGCATAAATTCTTTTCTCATCTTTGCACCATCATTTCCCGACACTCCAAAGGTCTTCTTCTTCTTTTGGGAGATTCAAATGTTACCTTGGATTCCACATTGGATAGGCGCTATGCCCGGGGGGCACATTGGATAGGCGCTATGCCCCTTCTCACGACTTAGTGCTAGAGGAACGTATGCACTCTCTCTTGCAGACGGTGGGGCTGGCGGACGTCTGGAGGGAACTTCACTCAACTGAGCACAACTTTACATTCTATTCCAATCCTCATGACAGTTTTTCTAGAATTGACCATATATTCATGCATGTCCAGCAGCTTCCCTTGGTCAGGCGGAGAGCTATTCCCTCCTCGCCGTGGTTGGACCATGATCCCCTGGTACTCCTCCTTTCCCTCTCTGGGTCGGTATGACACCCCTTTCACTGGCACATTAATGATTCTCTATTGACCATTTAGGTTACCTGACAACAAATAGAATCTTTCTTACACACATACTTTACGGAAAACTAGGGATCTGTCTCTTTTGGCAGTGCCCCTGTGGGAGGCGCATAAAGCCACGGTGTGGGGTCATGTTATACAGCTGGCAGTGGCTTGGAAGTGGGATCGGGAGAGTCGACATTTGGAGCTTCATTCTCTACTGGCCTCTGCAGATGCTCGTTGGCAGTCATTTCCAAACGCGGCCCATAAAAGCGTACGGGACGCTCTGGCTGCAGAGTTGGACCTACTTGCTTTTTCGGAGGCAGAATGGGCCCTGCATTGGACCAAACACAAATTTCCTGTGCTAATAAACCGGGTCCAATGCTGGCCAGGAAACTAAATTCTGTGGGGAAACCCCATAAAGCGATCCGATTGTGACTTCCCACGGTTGACTGTACTTCTAATCCCCAGCAGATTGTTTCCCGTTTCAACAGACTTCCTTTCGTGCCTTTATGCTAAATGAGATCCCTTCCCTGTGGCTCAGGCAGATGCATTCTTCCAAGATCTCCAACTTTCTGGATTATCCGAGGCAGCGCAGATGGCCCTCAACGCCGGTGTCACTGTATCGGAAGTGCTCCAAGCTATCAAATCTCTACGGTCCACCACAGCCCCAAGTCCCGACGGCTTCTCCGGTCTCTATTATAAGAAATTTGCAACCCTGTTGGTGCCCTTCTTGGCTGACTATTTCAGTGAGTTACGATAGGGCTCTTTGCCCTCTCTGGATGCGATTAAAGCTCATATCTCCATGATTCCTAAAGCTACCGATGATGTGCAGGAACTGCAAGCCTGCCGGCCCTTTTCTCTTCTTAATGAAGACCTGAAGATATTGGGCAAGATCCTTAGTCTTTGTATCAATAAATATTTGCATAGTCTGGTCCACAGGGACCAAGTAGGTTTTGTCACTGGGAGGCAGGCGGGTGATAACGTTCGTAAGGTGGTTCCATCTTATACACTTTCTACAACAGCGGAAAATCCCGGGATTCTTACCATCCTTAGACATATATAAAGCCTTTGATTCTCTATCCTGGGAATATCTGTGGTTTGTGCTGCCTTGTTGGGGTTTTGGGGATACTATTCTTTCTTGGATTCAAGCCTTGTATTCTTCCCCTTCGGCTTCTGTTAAATACGCTGGGTATTTCTCAGATCCCTTTTCTATTTGGTGGGGGACGAGACAGGGCTGCCCCCTGTCCCCGGCGCTCTTTGTCCTGGCGCTTGAGCCACTGGCTTTAGCGCTCTGGGCCGATTGTAATATATTGGGTGTTCCATACACAGAACAGGAGTTCAAGTTGAACCTTTTTGCGGAAAATGCCCTCTTGAATCTCACTAATCTCCTAACGATGCTTCCAAATTTGCAACAGGTTCTTGTGTGCTTCTCCTTGATTTCGGGTCTCCGTATTCATTTGGATAAGACTGTCACTCTCAATATTACTTTGGCCTCAGATTTGGTTTCGCACCTACAGTCTCACTTCCTTATAAATGGGCTTCCTCTTCTCTTGAATACCTAGGCATTCACTTGACCCCTACCTATGGCTTGTTGTTTGCTGCAAATTATTATCCATTGCTTCGCTCTGTGTCCTCTCTTTTATGCGCTCCTGGCAATTTCTGCACCTGTCTTGGATAGAACGGGTTAATTCAGTGAAAATGACCATCTTGCTGAAATTGTTATACTATTTTTGCACCCTCCCAGTGCGGGTTCCTACTCTTCGGTTAATTTTCTTTGGTTGATTCAGGCGAAGATTATGCATTTTATCTGGGCCGATAAGCGCCCCAGAGTCTCCAGAAATACGCTTTTTGTTCATAGACTCCAGGGGTGGTCTTGGGGTGCCTAATGTAAGGTATGTAATGTAATGTATCAGGTGAGCCAGATTGCCCTGCTGTCTATGTTGCATGCTTCCTCGGATGTTCCTCTCTAGGTCCTGCTGGAACTACCTAGTTGTGCCCCTATTGCGACATTGACGCTTCTATGGCTTCCCCCTGCTCTACGCCCTATGGCTTATAAGTATGGGATTCAGTACCTTACTCCAGTGGCCTGATGTCACCTTTCCTACTTTTGTTCCCAGTTATTAACAACCCTCTCTTCCCACCGGGTTTAGATCAACCAAAGGCGTTTTCTTGGTGGGTGGCCAATGGTTTTTTGCAGGTGCGACACTTTTTGACTTCTCGGTCCTTCCCCACTTGGAATTCTGTTTGGGAGTCATGGAATTTTTTTGTTACCTTCAATTGCGGCATTGGCTGACCTCACTGCGGGGCACTTTCATTTTCCCGTACCAGAAATCTGCCTTTGAACTGCTTTGCCAACAGCGTCCGGGCCCCCCTGGGCTTTATTTCCCTTCTTTATTCAGCTTTGAACAGACGCTCAATGCATACTTCTCTTTCTTGTGTCACTCAGTGGGAGCGCAATCTGGGGGCAGTCGTGGATCTGGAGGACTGGAATACGGCCAGGTCGCTTATTGCTAAATGTTCATTTAATATGACCATGCTGGAGGCGGCATACAAAGTATTGTTTCGTTGGTATTGGGTTCCGGCTCGTTTGGCCCAGGCAAACCCTGCCTGCAGTGATCGATGCTTTCGGGGTTGTGGCCATCGTGGTGAAGTATTGCATATTTGGTGGTCATGCCCGAGACTGTTTAGTTTTTGGTCTTGTTTGTTTGGCCTCCTTTTCACCTTGTTCCATCTCTCTATACGCCAGGATGCTTGGTATGCTTTGCTTCATTATACCATAACGGGCCTCTTGGCTCACCAGCAGAAGTTGGCTTCCTATTTGTTTTTTCGGCCACTAGAACAATTGCTCAGGCCTGGAAGAGCCTGTTCGTCCCTCTTCAGAGTGTGCGGGGACCGTATGACCACTATGATGCTCAATGAACAGATGTTGAGTATCTGTAACGACTCTCAATGGAAATTCTTGAAAATATGGGAGCCGTGGTTGAAATATGCCTTTCCCACACTCCTCCCGACTAGTCTGGGGTTGTGATGGTGCTCGGTATTGGCGTTCTCGGACCCCTGCTCTTGGTCTTGTTATCTTTTTCCTTTTGTACTTCTCTTTCCTTTTCTTTTTCTGTTTGTTTTTGGTGTGGCAGTGGATAGCTGCCTTTAGTTTGAGTTGCTGTCGGTGTTATACCTATGTTTTTGTCAATTATGTGCCATTGATAGCCCCTGCATGGGCGCACCTTTTGCTCTGTTGGTTTTAGAGCACTGTGTTTTTAATTTTTTTTTATGTGCAATTGATAGCCCCTGCGTCGGCATGTTTTGTTGCTCCTGTCTTAAACTGTTTATAAATTAATAAAAACATTGACATACAAAAAAAAATATATTCTCAGACTTTGTAGTTACACAAGTGCCTTGTGGGACTTTGTACTGGAGGTGGATCAGGTAAATGCTGAGACCGTCTCTCGCTGTCACATAGACACTGTCCACAAAGGGTAGGCGAGAATCAAAAACTCCTTTCATGATACCCTGGTGCTTCTGGTGAAATATCAAAGTGATGTTCAATGAGGTTCAATACTTATCTATCACGTTCAGCACCAAAAATGCCAAAAATAAAATACTTATTAGATGGGGCTCCCCAGAAAGAATCAGTGATGAAAAGGGATCTGGATACAATCCAATTAATTCTCCAAAATAAAATTCCTCCACTGTGATCCACCACCAAAGAAAGGAATCCAAATTTGCTTACCAAATATTATTGACTCTCAGAACCAACAAGAGTCAAAAACACATTATGGATAAAATCTCACACATCACTGGTAAAAACACTCTCCCTCTTACAGACAGCTGCTCCACAGCATCCACCATAAGGGGTCCATGCATGTAGGTAAGTACCCGGAAAAAGATCAGATGCTCCACATAGTGTGAAAGCTGTTTCTATTTAAGAAAAAGGTTAAAAATTGCTCTCACAGAGGTAAAATATCATGTAAATATTGAT